TTAGACGTAGCAGTTACCGGAGAGGGGGTGCGGTTACGCCAATAAGTCTGGAGCGCCACGTAATATCCATGGTGGAATCCCTTTAATGACGGGCGAAGATCTTTGTTTGTTTCTCAGAGATGCAATTTTGGATTTGGAAACTCTTGATTAAAAACCTGTCGGTTCAATTGAAAACGTAAAACCCCGATCAAGGAACAGGAACGTATTAGTGCCGATTTAGGTAAACCACTGAGGGGATGTCTTTCCAGGTCTAAGAGCCAGAGTAGGATTCAATTACGTCTGCGTTTCGACTTACAGAAGAGTTCTTCCTCGTCGTTGTTTATTAGGTGGATCCTGTCAAGGGAATATCACTGCGGTTTCCTCGCTTTTTAAGAATCCGAGATGATAAGAAACCTGAACAAGCCACGGACAGTTCACAGGTTAGGAAAAATTTTATATTTAAGGAACGATGTTTACCATTTGGCACGAGAGTTGGTGAAACAAAAATATGCCCTCTGGCGAGGTTATAAACAACACTCAGCCAGTTTAGGGTTTCCGGTCCGAGGCTCTGCAAACTTACCTTCAGCGAGCTTTTTAGTTCCCTGAACCAGTTTCTGAGTTCACATTTTGCCGGTGTCGTGCATGATTCTAAGTTCTATTTCGAACTCGTCCCTTATCTCAGAAAATTGTTTCGGAGTGCCTTTTGAAAATTTAGTTTCCCTTAAATCTAGGTTGCGGAAATGTACAGAAGCCAAGAAACTGTAAAGAATAACGCAAATCCTCCACCAACCATAGACGCCTCCGATGACTTCTATTGATGCAAGAAATAATTCCTTTCCGTATCCTGTGGAAAAAGAGGAATTGGCGTCTCTTGAAAGCCTAGAAAAGTGACTTACTTGCACTCGCCAAAAGCATTGCATCTTCGGTTCACAGTAAGCGTTTATTTGGACGCAGTGATAATAGGACGAGTTGAATTTTCAATGAAGATGTGTTACCAGCTGCTACTCTGACCTTTTACGCCCTTTGTCTCAAGAGAGTGGTCAGATTTTAATTTCCTCTAACATTTATAAGACACTGTGTAGCATTCAGGTAATGAGAATTAAGCCAAATCAAGCTGCTGCGCGCGGAGGGACTAAGCAGAGCCCCATACCTATGTAAACATGATAACCGTGCACGGTGGTCGGAAGATGGTAGAGCCGAACCGTCTCTCGTTTACTCGGTTTAAATGAACCCCCACAACCTGAAGAAAGTTCGGATAAAATGATGGGAAGTAAAAAAGGACCAACTTGAGCTCTGGGACCTGCCTATCGTAAGTAAACGTAGTACAAAAACTCACTTCCGTGTTAATGCAGTCCACATCTATATTTGACAATCCACTCGAATACAAATACAACTAGATAAAATAACTTAGAGTTATCTTAGGGGAGCATTCCCAAGTGTACACTGCCCTAGAGAAACTGAAATTTCGTGAAAGTTTCATGAAGCTGCACTTTCCGATGGATAATTTTAGTAATTTCTGTGAATCTGTAAGTAAATCAAATCGTACACTATTTCGTCTGAGAATCCCTTGTGTATACTAATATCACGATATGACAGAAGCCGTAATTTGTCTTATTTTTTTTCATTATATTAAGAATTATGATATTGTGTGAAATTCCACAATAATATTTTGTGTAAAAGTTGTTGCCATGTGCATTGATCACTCGATAAAGGTGATAGTCACTTTACCATTTCCAGCCGTATTATAACAACATTCATTTTCCTGATTTGTCCCACTGTTAAAAGATCCTCCTCCACCACCACAAGACGGATCTTCATTAACACCTCCAGCTCCCCCGGAGTAACCTCCACCGCCGCCAGCTCCCCCAGAGTAAGCTGGATTTCCGCCGCCACCTCCGAACCCACCGTGATACGTTCCACCCTTTCCACCATTGAGAAATCCTTTGCCACCTTTACCTCCTCCTCCCCCATTACCAAAAAAGCCGCCGCCGCCGCCACCTAAAACGATAAGAGAAATTTCCAGTGAATCTCTTTAATGGTACCTGAACTCATCTATATAAATGGCGGGAGAATACCTTTTTTGTTTTATTTACAACTGAGTTCTATGTTTTTCTATGCTTTGCCTTAGAGGACTTGAAAAGCAAGTTACGAAAATCGAATCCCTGTTAAAAAAAAAGGTCCGTATGATTCCTGCAATGCTTTTGCTATGTCACTCAATCAACATTCTTGATAACTGTGCAAATGTCCTCCTTGTTTACTTTTATGACCTAATGTGTTTTCGTAAACTTGGTGGCTTTAAAATAATGTAATATGGGCGCAAGAGCGATGAGATTTAAGTGAACGAGCTTCATCCAAGTGAACTAAGATTTACACCATGTAAATCTAAAACTATCCTTTTTAATTCTCACACTTTCATGCTTTACCTCTTTTCTTGTTGTCACTATTTATCATAATTGGCATTGTTCTACTTACTATAGAATTCAACTCCCAACGCTTTGTACAATAATGAACTGAAGGTGACAGAAATTTCTGCCGAAACGTGTTTTACAGATTCAAAAGTTTGTCGCTCTCTTTAAACTAAGATTTTGCAAAGTTTTCGACTTATTGGCACGTATGCTTCCGATGAATGAGCCCCAATGAGTGCCATAAATATAGGTTTTTATAACTCAAATGTGGGTTTTTGTAACTCATCTCACAGTACCCCTAGTTTGAAGATGATTGGGTAAATCTCATTTTACTAACCTGGCCTATTACCAGCGCTACCTCCTCCGTTTCCGCTAGTTCCTCCTGACCCCAATGACGAGGAGTACCCAGTGTTCCCTGTGGTGCTTAGGGATGCATCACACCCTGAATGTCGCTCTGACATGTTTTTAATTCCCCCACCACCTCCAGCTATGATTAAAGGTGTATTTGTTCCTCTCACCACAAATGTACCTCCCCCGCCTCCTGTAGTTGTTTTGGAGTTAGGCCCTCTCTTTCCTTTATGACCAACAAGTATACGAATGATCTCATCTTTGGTCAAATTAAAGTTTCCGGTCAACTTGGCTCCTCTTCCTCCGTTCTGGACGACACTGTTCTTACCGTACCACCCTGCACCTCCTATTGCTTCTATTCTGTATTCTCCAGTGTATGGCACAGTCCACAATTGAATACCGGTGGACACAGTAACTTGTCCGTCATGATCTTGCCCTGTATAGTGACTACCAATTGAGCTTGGACCACCAGCTGCAGTCGAACCAAGGTTTGTGAAGACAGCTTTAAACTCTGGCTCTAGGTGGATAGACAAAAAATGAGGGACGTGTTACTTTTGTAGGCCATGTAGCAGCCTAACTGATAACAAACATACCTTTGGTGCACTCCGAAATTCATGGGAATGTGTGGTAATCTTTTCGCGCCTTGCTTGATAAAATAGTGGAAAAAGTTGTCACTCAATCAGTTAAACTCGGTTTTTATGATTGGAAGCAAAGAATTGAGCGTTGAATTAACCTTGCTCACAGAAGTTTCCAGTCCACCCAGATAAGTTACAGGCACACGTGTAGTTCACGTAATGGTTTATGCACCTGGCATTGTTTTGGCACCGGTGTTGAATGCAGTAATCTGCGACTGGATGGGAAAAGTTTCTAAATGAAACTTACTCACACATTATGAAAGTCATCATGAAATATTTGTCTTCCTAACCTTCTGTTTTCATGTCACAGTGAGCTAGAATAGAGTTCCCAGACCTGGTGGAATCCAACCAATATGTACCGCTGACCGCTTTTCCTCCCTCACTCGCCTTAATCTCTCGGCACGAATAGGCAGGCAGCTCAGGAATAGAGCCGAGAGGGACTGGAATTGTAGAAAATACGAAAATGAGAAACAACGATGAGTTCCACTTTAGAATCCTTGAACGAGGTACTTATTTGAACTTTGAACAAAAAATCAATTATTTCTGATGTAAAGTTCTGTTACCTCGTTTTGAGTTTCTCGCCATGTAGTATCTATCTTTATGTTTGACAAAGTCCTCAGGTCTGGCCTCTTTGGTCCGGTTGTTTAACTCGCACTTTGAATTAAGTATATCGATGTTATAGCTTTGACATCTGAAATCAGTGTGACAAGCTTCCCTGCATTCCAGCGCGACGGTGCCGGCTTGGCTCTCAATCTTCATATAGGTGTGGCCCCTGAGCATCTTTTGAAAAATGGAGTAAATGCCGGCTCCACACTGGTGGCTGGTAATGCCGTGGAAGATTTGAGTCATGAAAAGCACGGAAAAGAGTGAAGGCTTTCCACTAACCATTCGTAACATTTTTCTATTCTAGCATCTACAAACACAAGCACCACATTCCCTCTGACAGATGCTGAAGATCTGGGGTGGACTCTAATAAAAGTTTAAGAAAGGAGGAGACAATTACAAAAAAACTCTGAATATACGTAAGAGAGAAATTGGAATGAAAAAGCTTCATGCGTCACTAGAAACCCATCAACTCTTCAAGCATCGACCTGACGAGCTTTCGTTTTTGGATTTTTGGCAAAACAAATTCCTGAAGCTTGAAATTGCTCACAGTTTTCCTCGAGCTTCGGAAAACTGATCGCATCTCGGAACAGATCAGGTAATATCTGCGCAAAACTATCCGTGCATATGTTTGGACCCAAGGGACAGATGGATGCAATTGTTAATATACACCTGTTTGGTCTTACCTGTGTAATAGAAAAGTTTTAGATTTTGTTGACGTCAAGTATAATCAGAGCACTTGTCCCCGCATGTAAACATTGTTTGGCGATCTAACTATGAATTGTAATTTAAAAACTGCCAAAATCTTTGTCAGCAACTTGGTGTCTTGAAACGTCATAACATGGTCAACCATGGACGATTAAAAAAATTGTCAATAGATAACTTTTGCTGTTTAGCTAAAATTTGTGAGGTAAAGTTATAACTTCAATTTAAGGACACGAAAAAGGCAAATTTTAATGCACAGTATGTAAATGTTTACAAATACGTGATTGACATCAGCATTTGTTTTTTTTAATTGACACCTTCATGTCCGTGCGGTCTCTTGAGGCGTAAATAACAACATCAAAATAAAATTGAATTATTAATTTGAAAAGATGGAAATTTAATGCGTAAGCTCCTGCACGCAATTTCTCACCGTATATGTGTGTAAAAGATGTTCGTTGTCGAACAATTGGATGTTAGCGCTGAATAATATGTTAAACGCTCACTGTGACCCAGCTATCAGATACTTTTTGTAGTGCCCCCTCAAGTCACGCGAGGAATAACATGAAAAGTAAACGAAGTCAGTCGTTCCTCCGTATCACGAATGTCCTATACCCCATTCACACCAAAGCTTAAACATGTTTTAAAGTTGTTTTGCTAAACACAGTTCAATTTTTTCTCTCGTAGAAACTACTGAACATAATATTTTTTACTTAAAATGTAGCACATTGGAAATGCAAGTCAGCAAGCACTTGAATCTTATGGAATATTAAGCTTTTCGGTTCTCTGTTATAATTTTCATTCAGTAACAACCAGTTTAGAAGGAGAGAAGACCGGAATTTAGTTTTCTAAAGTTAAAAATACGGGATGAAGAATACTTTTAAAGAAAAAAATATTGCCTTCTCTGGGAGCAATATGACGAGCGCGTTAGAGGCTTTTTCAATTAGTTACCGTCAAAGAAATTCCTTATGTGTCAAGCTGAAATAGTATGTGACCTTATCTTCCTGCTTATATTTATCAAAGCTCATAAGATAATTAACGACTAAGCCTACCATCGACTGCGCAGCCATTCTGACTCCCGTTTCATCATAAGACCTAATCTGAAGGCGAGTTTTAATTTTTGCTCTCAAAGTCAATCGTTTAATAATTTAAAGGTTCTCAAGACGCCCTCTTAAGTGCAGCAGATTAAAATTAACGAGCACAAAACCCCTCTAATTCCTCATCCCTTTATACGAATTTCAGATGACTGCACG